TTTATCAACGTCCTCCTCCTTCCCCGTCTTTTTTTTCTTTTTTTTGTCCGATCAATCAATCAATCAATCAATCAATCAATCAATCAATCAATCAATCAATCAATCAATCAATTAATCAATCAATCAATTGACCAACCGATCGATCGAAGATCCCATCGATTGGTCGATTGATTGCTTGATTGCTTGATTGCTTGATTGCTTGATTGCTTGATTGCTTGATTGATTGATTGATTGATTGATTGATTGATCGATCGGACAAAAAAAGACGAAAAGAAAGGAAAAAAAAAAAAAACGGGGGAGGAGGAGGCCGTTAATACGAGGAGGAGGAGAAGAAGAAGAAAACAAGGAGGAGAGGAAGAAAAAAAGAATATGAGGGGGAGGAGGAGGGGGATTACGAGGCGGAAAAAGAAGAAGAAAAAAAAATAAAAATAGGCGCGTGCTGACGTGGAAGCCGTGCGTTGGTAAGTGGAGGAGGAGGAGGAAGTACAGGAGGATGCTGATGGGGAGGAGGAGGAGGAGGAGGAGAAGGAGGAGGAGAAAGTACAGGAGGATGTTGATGGGGAGGAGGAGGAGGAGGAGGAGAAGGAGGAGGAGGAAGTACATGAGGAGGATGACGAGGAGGAGGAGGAGGAGGAGGAGGAGGATGATGGGGAGGAGGGCGCGTGATCCCTACGAGGCTGCGTCGACGTCGACGATGACGACAGCTGCGCGGTTCGGAGCGGCGAGGATGGTTGGCCTGCCCAGTTTGAATTCGAACGCGGGCCCTGGCTGCCCCTTCCCGTCTGGCCGCCTGCCCAACCCCGCCCCCAGGGCCCCCACCTGCTTCCCAGACCCTTCCGAGGGCCGGTAATGCCTGCTGGGCGAACGAGTTCGCAGGCCTCGGAAAGGCGTTCATGCAAACACGTTCGTTTCCCGTTCGGGCGAACGGCCGCACATGTTCGGACGTTCGAAAAACTTCCGAACATGTTCAGTGTGCTACTCAAGCCCAGATTCAATAGGCATGTTTGGGTCAAACTGAGTGAAGTATTTGAGGTATACCTCTTTCTCCATAACTCTAAGAATATCCTGCACCCGAGCAGGATCTGCGACTGAATGAGATTGCCATTGCTTGTGAACAGGCAGTCGAACCACTTAGGAAAGTTGGGTACTATAAGAACAGGGTACGACTGAATCCCACAAAGATACGCAGATCTTGGCAAATTGTAGGAACCTACTGCATACTGACAAAGTACATAAAAGGGATTAGGGGGGCATTTGATGAACTGGTTCTATCACCGGTTGATAGAAATCTTGGGGAAATGCTCATTGAATATCCGGTATTGTATAATTTTGGAATAAGAATGATGTTTAATGATAGTTTGAGGTACTCGAAGAACGATAAATTAGAAAATGTGATCCTGAGTGAAATGAGGAGTGGATATAAAAAAAAAGAAACTGGATCAAGTTGCGAGATGGAATAATGATGGACGCATACAACACATGTTTACGATGAGCAAAGAAAAAAATATAGAAAAGAAAAGGTCCACATACCCGTAATATCATAGCTCAACGAGATCAACATCAAAAATACTCACCAAATGTTGAATCTGATGATAAGAACGACAAAAATGGAACACTTCAATTTAGACGCCACAAATGAACTAAAATAGGGCATCGACAAAGTTAATGACTGGATGGATAGAATGGGGTATGAGGCCGAGGTTGAATTGTGTACGTATGATGTAAAGGAGATGTTCACAATGATACCACATGATGCGGTGAAAGATGCGGTTGAATGGATCTTCTCTGAGCAAAGGATAAAAAGGCAACAGTGAGCTCGAGTGAAAATCCAAGGTAAAGGGACCAGCATCGAGAAATCAGTTGGGGAAGGGGGCTGGAAGTCAGTTCGACTTAGGGACCTACAACCCTTAGTTCATTTTGTACTTGATAATTGTTTTTTCAAATCACTATGAGATATTTTACAGCAAAAGAAAGGGATTCCAATGGGCAGACATGCTAGCCCATCGCTTGCCTTTTTGGAGAGAAAGGACTTCCATGTTATGGTTGTGTGCACGTCTGTTGCATGCCTGCCTGCCTCCCGAGAGAGAGAAAAAAAAAAAGATAGAGAGAGCGATAGAGAGATGGAGAGATATACACAGAGAGAGAGAGAGAGAGAGAGAGAGAGAGAGAGAGAGAGAGAGAGAGAGAGAGAGAGAGAGAGAGAGAGAGAGAGAGAGAGAGAGANAGAGAGAGAGAGAGAGAGAGAGAGAGAGAGAGAGAAAAGAGAGCGATAGAGAGAGAGAGAGAGAGAGAGAGAGAGAGAGAGAGAGAGAGAGAGAGAGAGAGAGAGAGAGAGAAAAGGACTTTCATTTCATGATTGCATGCCTGCATACCTTCCTTCCCCCAAGGAGACCCTCATCCCTCCAACAGCCCCTGGGCCTGGACCAGATTCAGGCCCACGATACAACCACTGACCCTCTGAGCAAGGAGACCTTGTGTCCCGGACCTATGTTGACCCTTTCTCCCTGATTTGGGCCTGACAGATAGACAGACTCAAAGACTCCTGCCTGTCTGCGGCCACGACTAGTTCGACGTCCATACAACCTCACATGCAGACCCAGGCGCTGCCTCCGTGTGTCCACAGGTCCAACCACAGGTCCAATCCCAAGTTCGACCCTACGTCTGTTTGCCTGCCTCCTGCCTGCATACCTGCATGTGTCTCTGTCTGCCTATCTGCTTGTCTGCCTATCTGCTTGTCTGCCTTTTTTTTTCTTTTTCTTTTTTAACGCCTTAGCTCAGGCCAAAAAATTGTGGGCCTGAGCCTGTACGCAGGTCTTGTGCATGGCAGTGGGGCTGTGCCACCTACATGCTATGCGCCTGGGCATGTCTGCCCAACCTTCCCCAGGCCTGTCTCCGTGGTCTGCTCCTAGCCTGTGTTCCCGACCTGACCCTAGGCCTGTCTCCTGGACATGACCGTGGACCTGGCCCACGATACAGCCCCTAGACCTGGACCAGATTCAGGCCCACGAATGCGAGACAGGCAGATAGGCAGGCAATCAAACAGACTGACTCAGTGACAGACAAACAAACAGTTTGTCTGTCTGTTCGTGTCTGTCCGTCTGTCTGTCAGCCTCTCTACCTGACTGTCATTATCTGTGGTAAAGGACCGGGCCCAGACCCAGGTCAACGGCCGTACAGGCCCGGGCCCAGACCCAGGCCAACGGCGGTACAGGTCGAGACCATGGCCACGTCAACATTTGCCACTGGACACAG